CGTCCACCATAGACTTTGTATGTAAACCTGATGCTCCTGATGCTGAAATCGCGTTCGGTGTGAACGCACCATTAGTTATTATAGTTAATTAGTTCTGCTGCTATAGGCTTAGACTGCTGGAGGACAAACTGACCACATTTCCTGACTCTGCTATTATCTTTAGTCACTTTCCTCTACATCAGGGATAGTCAATTCTGGTCCTCGAGTTTCGCAGCTCTGCACATTTTACTTGTTTCTCTGCTCTAAAACACCTGATTTGAATGAATGGATGATTTTCAGGCTTCTGCAGAACTTGGAAGAGGTAATTCACTGACTGAATCAGGTGTCAGAGAAGGGAAAAAAGTAAAACATGCAGGGCTGCGGACCTCGAGGACCAGGATTGACTATCCCTGCTTTACATGTTTGTTTTTATTCTGTCAATAACCTGAGTTTTCTTTGTCTCTCTTCCAGAGGAAAATACACCTGGACCAGTCCTGTGTTTGTCTGTGTCTCCTTCCTGTCCCAAACCCAGCCGGTCCTGAGCCTGGTTCTGCTGGAGGTTTCTTCTTAAGGTTAGTTGTTGCTACTGCTCAGAAAGGTGATAAAACATTTTTTTAATATTTCATATTTATATTTTTATATATATTTTTAGATTTTTTCTTACACTTCATCATATTTAGACTAAATTCAATTATTGCAAATTTTTCGACCAACATTTTACTTAATACTCAGTTTGATGTGAATGTCAACCTTATGATAGTGCTAACTAAAAGTAGCTAGCTTTGCTAACTTGAAATATTAATTAGCACACCCTGTGGCTTCCCATGTCACCTTAGAGGCATTCTGAAAATATATAATATATATATATATATATATATATATATATATGTATGTATATGTTTTGAAATATACATACTTTTAATTATTTATTCATGACCGTAAATATGTCCCCAGACTAACATGGTTTTTCTTCTTACCAACAGTGACAGCTGCTATGACCGGCGACACAAACACTGACATCATCACCCCGCTTGCCACAGTCAAATAGTGCTTACTTCCTGAGATACTATTTTTCTTGCAGCGACCGTGGACCTGGAAGGCAATAAATGGAAAACAAATTACTTCATGGAAATTTAATTTGTTCCTTGTTGTTGTTCTCCATCTGTGCAATCACTTATCCACATCCATGAATGCATTTATGCAGACAGGAGGGAAAAGGAGACAAACTGAAACCAGTATGAGCCATTACAACGCCACCAACACACACATCTATTCACACCTTTCATTAAAATTGTAGGTTGGTTTTACTAAGATTGCTTAGTCCACAGTTCCATTAATATGTATTAAGAGCTAAAACTCATTTTATCTCCAGCTTAAACATATATTTTTAGAAAGACACAATCTAGAGGTAAAATGATCCATTCCCTTAAAAGCAGTACATGACGATTATAGAGCCAAAGAAAAACATGATTTGCTGTTTTCATGTAATATGGGCTTACCCTGCAGATTTTCTACTAAATAACATGCTGTGACATGAGATGTATTAACTGTTGTTGCTCTCACTGACCTTGCGGCCCATGTAGATGGGTATGCCCACTATGATGACCGGGATGGCAATGCCCGCTATGAGGGAGATGACCACAGGGGCTCCGAGCAACATGCCCACCTGCCACAGTACTTTGCGGGTTTGAGACCATGGCTTCTTCCCCCAAAAGGTGCATCCTGAGGGACTGAAACACACAACAGACACAACTGGTTTGATAAATTATGAGTTCAAGTATATTAGTTATTATTAGTCAATGGAAGCTAATTGGTCCAATAATGGTTTTCAAAGTTAGCAAAAAAGCTAATTTGCTACATGAAAAGCTAGTTCTGCTATTAGCAGATTAGCAGAACTATGCCCACCACCGATGACTAAATTACTAAATAGAAAGTGAAATTCCCTTCAGTTTTTGGGTTTAGTGTGGTTAATACTTTATTCTGAAATAGCCATCCATCCATCCATCCATCCATCCATCCATCCATCCATCCATCCATCTTCTTTATCCACTTTTTTCTTCCTGGGTCAGAAGTTCATCACAAGGCCACATGGAGACAAACAAGAGAAACAACCATTGATCTACTGTATATTACTGGATTGGACATCACGTGACTTATCGTGCGCCAACATAGGAGCCATTGCTATGCATTGAGTCATGTCAACAAAACGGTAGAGTTTCAATGCGGGATGCGCGTCAGTCTGTCACAAAAATATTCATAGCACCCTCATTTCTTATCCAATTTCTATCTAATTTTGCATTTGTTTCCTGGTTCTTCATTCGCGCTGAAGTGACTAAAGACAAATTCCTCCAGCTGGTCATAAAATAAATGCGGTCGGCCCCTCCACAGCTTGGCTTATGAAATGTAGCTACAGTGGAGGAAAAAAGTTACAGAGTTTTTTACTCTGATATATAATCACAAACTACAGGATGTACCATATACTGACTGGACAGAACATCAGTACCAGTAATATCTACACAGTTCAGCCTAGTAGTAGTAAAGGTAATTTTACTGTTGTCCTTATATTTACCTCTCACAATGTTATCCTAACATAATAGCAATATTGATAAAAAATATATAATAATTTCTTGGAACAGCAAATTTGTCTTTACATGATGGAAAGGGGCTTCTACTGAAAATATGTTGGCAAAAACCTATAATGAAAAGTTCCCTGACTGCTTATAGATTTATCTCTTGAACAAATACATATTTTTACATTTCACAACATCAGCAATTTTCTCAGCTTTAATTTAAGCCCTTTTTTACAGAAATCAGATATGAAATGAGGGTGCTATGAATATTTTTGTGACAGATTGACACGCATCCCGCATTGAAACTCAACTGTTTTGTTGACATGACTCAATGCATAGCAATGGCTCCTATGATGGTGCGTCGCTAGCTATATCGGCTATAGGCGATGTCCAATCCAGTAATATAGACAAATGGAAACAACCAGTCACCCTCTTGCTTACACCTTTAGGGACAATTTAGAGTTTACAGCCAACCAGTATTGGTTTAAAAAAGAGACAACAACAACGTTGCCCTAAATGTTAGAATAATTTGGTATTTGTTTTTTTGTCAGCATGGTGTAATTCAAACTGCTGAGGAGAACAGTTTAACTGACCCCTGCTGTTTTGGTCTTATTAAACCCACGCTTAACTCGTAGAAGCAAGAAGAGCACCGAAGGGCAACGTGGCTTCTCAAAGTACGCTGCTGTTTTCCAACAGCAAATGTCACATTGTCACTTTGAACGACTTAGTGGGAGGAAAATATAATGAGGTTTTGTGAAAGTGCTGTTGCTTTGGACCAGCAAATTTGCTGTACCATGCTAAAAGCTTTGCCCTTCTGCAGAGTGCTCTCTCTAATTTGCAGTAAGAAAGATGGCTAAACAGTGAAAGGAGAAGAGAAGAGGAAAAGCAGGGGCATAAACAAAAACACAGATGACACACCTTTTTAAAAAAAAAAAAACTAGTACATTTTAAAAGTTTCATACAGCATGCTCACATCTTTTACTCAGCAACCCTAAAATCAATTCTGGCGCTGTAAAAATATAAAGGTACAAACAGAGAAACTGATAACAAGTCAGCAACGGCTCCCATTTGAAAAATCAATAAAAACACCTCTGTTTAAATCAATGTAGCTGCTTAATAAGAAAGATGTTAACACCTTACTGACAGACTCAGTGTATAACTCGGAATGAGTTTATTATTTTTGTCATGCATAAAAAAATAAATTAAAAAACTCTTACAAGTAACACAGCTAAAGTGGGAACTACTATTTCAAGGTAACTGATCTTTCCAGCACTGTATTAAATCCATGCCGCTGTAAAATTGATACAGTCACTGCTTCTGTAATGAAAACTTAATGTGGAAAAAACTTTTAGAAAAACTGCTACAAAACACAAACCTGTAATTTGTTTATTGGTATGAACCAATAACCAGAAACTGCTTTAGAAAATGTAAAATCTATGAATCAACCTGACATAGAAAGAGTTCTCTGGGCATACAAGCATCTTAGATGGACAGAACAAGAGTGGATATGTTGGATTGATATGCGTTTGAGTTTTTTTTAGCTTATTTTTAGGAAAGAGTAGCCTGGTAAAAACCAGCTCCTAGTACTTCGCTTTGCTAGCAATACTCATTTTTAAGAAATAGCTTGACTAGTGCAACTGCAAGCCTCTTATGTGTGATGCAGCCAGCTGTGTATAAAACTACTTGTTGTGTTAAATTTATTCTTCAATTTCTTGACAATGTGTATTTACAACCTCCATACAAGAAGTACAGCTTTGGATAATTGGTTTGTTACATGTTCTGGTTCAGGTTTGTTCTGCTTATATGCTTGTGAGCAGCGTGTGAACGTGATACCTGAGGTAGTGCACGTCGGTAATCTCCTGCATACACAGCCAGCAGAACTGACAGGCACACACAGTGCAGTTCATTCGGTTACAGCTGCCGTCGTTGGTCTTCATGATGTAGGCGCCACAACGAGGGCACGGTTTGATCTCTTCTGCGTCTGCAACACAGCAAAACGCAGAATTAAAAAGTGCATTATTTACTCTCTAACTCAATGAAATAGCTTTTGTTTGTAATTTTGTTTGCTAGGAAGAGCAATTTCTTGCACGCTTCACTGGTTGCCAAGTACATAATCAGCTAAAATTGAGGAAAATAACTACTGTTTTCAGAGGTTTATAGTAACTACGTACGTTTACTTCATTACAGTACTTAAGTAGTTTTTTAAAGGATTTGTAACTTTACCAATTATTTATAATAGCTACTTTTACTTTTATTTCATTACATTTTAAAGTTAAAACCGATACTTTTACTTCTTTACTTTAAAATGTAACACCTAGTTACTCGTTATAAAATTAAATATGTTTGAACTCATCATGAAAGAAGATGTTTATGTACTCTAAAAAATAAAGTGTTGAATTTACTCAACAGTCATGTCAACTGGCTCCACTAAGCCTCGTTGAGTAAATTGAATAAATAATATACATATATTGCTCATTTACTCAACCTGGCTAAGTGGAACCAGTTTGGTTCAGTAAATTCAACTATTTATTTTAGAGTTTGTAAAAGTACTTATACTTTTAGTTTTCCAATTTTTGTGAACAGTTTTATGACTTTTACTTGAGTAGATTTTTCATAAGTGAAATTTATTTTTTCCAAAGTCATTTTCTCTTCATGTAATTTTACTTTTACTTAGTTGTTTTTTTTCAAGTACTTTATAGACCTCTGACTGTTTTAATACATTTTACAGATGTTTTTAACAAATGAGTTTAAGACTGATGCGTAAACTGATTCACTGTTAAACAGACACAAGCTAGTCAGTGTGCATTGCCAATGCAATGCACACTATTGTGATTCGTTTCTCATCCAAATCATCTCCACTTTGGCACGCTTCTCCTCCTGCATACTTTGTCCTAGAGCTGCCATTGTAATTCATATTTGTAAAGCTCCTGTGCCAAATGATGGCTATGACTTTTGGTGCCTGTACAACTTATAGTTTTTTTTAAATATTAATGTTTAATAATTTATAATGGGAGTCAATAGAGCCTTGTGTTGGTCCAATGCTGCCCCCGCTGTATCTATTCAGTACTGAACCATAGTTTAGTATTTAATCTCAATAGTTCAGTGTTTACAATAATAACATGATTGTAATTTGATGTTTTACTATAATATTGTCCAAATATTGCTTTATTATTGTAATATTTTTCAAATTAGTAACAACCATTACATTGGCAATGTGGCCACTTTCTACACACATACAAACCAAACCCTGGCCTCATTCCTCATTACCACAGCTCTAATGGTCTCAAGGTTAGTGCCATGGACTTTCATGTACGAGATCAGGGTTCAAAACCCAGCAACAGCAACTTTAACAGAAAATCTCTACAAACTTCATATTGTCACACAGTTACCCTTATTACAAACAACTGCTGACTTGACATGCACAAGCTGGTATAGAAAACACATTTGAACTTGGTCACATTTCATTCTGCAAGTCCACTGCTGCAGTAAAGACATGCTACAAGGCAATGCACACTTGTTTTTACATCGTAAAAACCCATGTCTAGTTAGCTGTTATATCTTGATTTCTTCTATGTATGCCACATAAATTAACTGGTGTGTTTATATTTAATCAATTAGACAAAAAATTAGACACTGAAAAAAAATACAGAACACAGACTGCTTCTAGTCTCACCCCCTCCAGGTTCCTCATTGAAGACATATAGCGTGGAGGGGTCATTGCCTCCTGAAGTATGGCGGGCCCGCTGACGCCGGGCCTGGTCACACGTCTGGTTGGGGTGCCACAGCTGCCGACAATGGTAGCAGAACTCTGTACCACATCCCTGACGACCGCAGCTCAGCTTGGGACACTCTGCACAACCATAAGCTATCACTGCATAGCTGGAAAACAAGTAGTATAGTTTATTTACAGACTGCTCCTTGTTGGCTAAACAATACAGTTACTATTTCACATCTAAGAATACATTATATATATATGTATGTATATGTTTTGAAATATACATACTTTTAATTATTTATTCATGACCGTAAATATGTCCCCAGACTAACATGGTTTTTCTTCTTACCAACAGTGACAGCTGCTATGACCGGCGACACAAACACTGACATCATCACCCCGCTTGCCACAGTCNTGTGTGTGTGTGTGTGTGTGTGCCCATAATGTACTATAAGAAGTAGTTTATTGTAATAGACCATCAAGTTACAAGTAGTGGAACTTTATGTTTCCGGGTCAGATGTCTAATGGGATAAACACTGAGGTTGCTTTGAAGACACCACAGGAATTAAACAAATTCAACAAGCTAAAGATATTTATGAAAATCTCATCTAGGATCTTACAGGAAAGTTTAACATGAATCAGTTTAGAGCACATTGGGTCTGTAGAACGGCATAAAATTACTGGTTGGATCTCTTTAATTCCAATGGCTTCTCCATTGTGACCTCAGAGTTTATCCCAAAAATGTGTAAGCGTGGCTGTTTCGCACATTTGTAACTATTGTCTATTGGACTTGAATCTAGTTCTGAATTGGAATGAAAGTTTTGACTCGTTTTTTATTTGTCATGAATTGGTACTGTATAAAAGTTGAACTGAACAGAAGTGAGGGGGGCGGGTCACATTGATATTCAACAAGTTAAGCAGGTTTTTGGTTAACTCTCTGCTATATTGATATAGCATTTTTCAAATGTATCCAATTTTATTTATAAAGACCTTTTAAACTTTTCAAAGGGAACAGAGTGCTGTCCAAAGTACTACAGTAAAAACAAGCAAACTCCACAACAATTAAAAAATATAAAGAATACAAACAAAGACTAAAAACCATGAAAATCAACATCAATGCCAAAAAAAAGGGTTGTAAGTGAAGATTTAAAAACAGCTGACATGGAGGCATTTCTAACGTGCAAAGGCAGGTGTTATGGTAATATTTATTTAACAAAGACAGAAATACGTGGCCCAAGAATGAAGGTACTCTGTGAGATGATCAGGTGAGTTTTATTGCAACAACACAAACACAGAGAACCTGGCCTGTCTCTGTGCCTCTGCTTCTCTCTGTCAATCTCTCCACACTGCTGTTGAACACTGAGTCTCGAGGCCTATATATTAACAAACACCATTATGCCATCTTAGCAAGATTTGATACGAGGTCAATGGAAAACACAAAGATAAACACAAGTGATATCTAAGAATGACTGTTGTTAGCAAATCTTGTTCTGACTTTAATCATTCTGTCTGCAGAWGAACAGCATGTCATGAAAACCTAGGTCATTAAAGGATATCATGAATTATTTGCTTAAACATAAAAGTATTAGTTCTATTACAGCAGGTCTAACTGCACTGATAACATATGTCAGGTTAAGTTTCAAATATGGTTGTTATGAGGTTCACTCATTGATGGATGGTTTTAACTAAAATTATTCATTGATCAGGGATAAGAGGCTTGACAAACTAAAGCACGATCTCCTGAAAATGAACTAGGATTAATAACTTGTGAGACCAATTTGCCTTGTGGTCTTTTAAGACTGCTCTAAGATGCTCAGTAGAAAGAAATAATTAACTATGGCTAAGAAGGAAATGCTCAACAGAGATGAATCTTCTTGGAAATCAAAGCCACATTTGTTTTCATTGCTTTGGGGCTTCTAAAGTACTTGCAGCTTTCTAACAACTCCTTTACAGTCTGGCGCTACTTCAAAAGGAGAAAAAAAAAGTTCAAACTGAGCTTTTAAATGTTGCCAATTTATCCACTGTTCAGACAAAAACACTCATTTTGTGCAACGATGACAGAGTTGTGACAAGGTGTGGATTAGTTGTTTTGACATTTCTGAGACCTTTGTTATATTTTCTTTATAAAACTCTGATTTTTAAATATGAAAATTAGGCACCTGCTTCGAATGTTATCATCCATTAAATGGACGCTATTAGCCAATATCAATCCCATAGAATGGCTTCAGACTGTCAGCTGGTTAGTAGGAGGCATAAAACCACTAAGGTTTTTTATGCAATCTGGTTAATATGAGGCATAAAATCAGTTAATTTTGGAGAAAATGACATGGGCTACAATAAAGTAGACCAGCCTCCGGCGGTAGCAGATTGTTGCATTCCAACGTGTATGGCACTGGTCACCCACTAGGGGGTACTGTCGGGACAGTCTGAAGCCATTCTATGGGACAGATAACCGCTAATAGCGTCCATTTAATGGACTGATAACATCCGAACCGGCTGAATTACATTGTGTTGTTAAACACGTTTTTGTTTTTTCTATGATATGGTTCAGTTTTCACCTGCAGTCAGGCGCAGGACACCAGCGTGTGTCTGGATCCGCAGCCAGAAAGCGCCTCAGCTGGAACTCCTCGAACCTCTCCAGCAGCGCCCGGTCATCCAGAATGGCGCGGACGTCCAGTGGCGTCAGATTCTCGGGGCACTGCGGGCAGGCGATGCTCACCCTGCTCTCCAGTATCTCTATGCGCAGGTACTGGCGGAGGCAGTCGGAGCACGCCCTGTGGGAGCACGAGGCCAGTCGCGGGAAGTGGCAGCGCGGTTGGCTGAGCAGGCACAGCGGGCACTCCTCCAGGTGCTCGTCCAGGAGCTGCTCCTGGCTGGACGTGGAGAGGGAGAGGACGCCGTTGGAGCCGCCGCCGCCCGCCCCCTCCTCTGTGGCGGCGCCGCTCGGGACCGCTTCAGCAGCAGCCGGCACGTCGTCGTCTTCCCCTCCTTCAGCTCCAGAAGCGCTCCATTTTCCTGCATCTTCGGCTGCTGTGAGTTCCTGAGAACAGCAGCAGACTTGATTACGTTTACCATGTCTAACTAACATCATGTGTGAAAACGACAAAATAATTTCCAACTTTGGAAACTCTTATGATTACTGCCCCAGCGACCAGATCCAGAATAAGAGTGAATGAAAGAATAATGGATCAAATAAATGCCCTGTAATGTAAAATGTATACGACAGATTCCCACAATAAAGTTTTTCTTTAATAACAACACAAACAAAAACAGAAGCCTGAATCTCACCTGCTCTGGTTGCTCACTGGGGGTCAGGGTTATAGGCACCTCCTCTTTGGGCCACGTTTCCAAAGGCCTCTCAGGCTTTGGCTCAGATTTGGGCTTCCGACTGAAGAAGTTCAGAAAGCTCAGGGGCCCCGTTTGTTGCTTGGGCCTCTTCATGTTCTAGGATGAGCGCTGGCCAACGACCATGAGCGGGATGCAAAAGGGTTGGTTCAGTGTGTGTCAGACTTTCTGTGAGCACTGTGAGAGCTATTTCGATGATGTGTCTCTGTATGAGCAAAGAAGTGTGGGAGAGCTGGAGAGGAGGTAATCCCTGCCTGAGGGGAACATTGCTAATCTGAAGGCTTTTCTGGGAGCTGATCATGTGGTTTATTATTGTCTCTCTTAAGTTTCTTTCTCCACCTCCGCTGCAGTTCACATGAAGTAAAATTAGTCCTTGAATGGTAGAAGGCCACTGTTACTGGAGCTCTTCTTCGCAGTATGAACAGTTTTTCCTGAGAATAAAAAAATTAGGATTAATTTGGGATTGATTGCATACTGTCATTGTGTTTTTGCAGTTTTACAATACTACTTTTACAATGCTTAATATCAACACATACATATTCACATATGCACAGATCTTCAGTTCTGTTATGCTCTAATAATCCCGATGAAAAGTTATTTTACATGATGTTTTTTGTTAACCTCCTAAAATTGAAATAAGCAAGGACAACTTTGTGTTGGTAACAATCCAGACAGTCCTTTTCCTCTTTGACTCTTTGACCACATCCATGATATCCAAAAACAATATGAAACGTGGACTCGTCAGACCACAGGACACTTTGCATCAGTCCGTTGCAGATGAGCTCGGACCCAGAGAAGCTGGCAGCACTTATAGAAACAAACTGTGTTCACTGATGATTGGTTTTCTGAAGTGTTCCTGGGCCCATGTAGTAATATCCATTACAAAATGATACCTGTTTCTAATGCAACGTCGCGTGACGTATGAAAGGTCACAAACATTCAATGACAGTTTTCGGCTTTGCTGCCTTCTTGCAGATATGTGTCCATATTCTCTGAATCTTTTAATGATATTCCGGACTGTAGATGATGAAATCCCCAAATTCCTTGCAATTGCAGGTTGAGAAACGCAGTTGTTCAAAAAGAAGTGAACCTCACTCCATCCTTGCTCGTGAACGACTGAGCCTTTCAGGGATGCTCCCTATAAACCCAATCATGACACACCTGTTTCCATTTAACTTGTTCACCTGTGGAATACTCCAAACACGTGATTTTTTTTAGCATTCCTCAACTTTCCCAGTCTTTTTTGCCCCTGTTCCAGCTTTTTGAAACATTGTAGGCATCAAATTCCAAATGAGTTAATATGTGAAAAAAAACAATAGTTTATCCGTTTGAACATTAAATATCTTCTCTTTGTTGTGTATTCAATTGAATATAGTTTGAAAAGGGTTTGCAATTCATCGTATTCTTGTATTCTGTTTTTATCTATGTTTTCAACAACATGATCATTTGATTGGAATTGGGGTTGTAGGATGTCAGTGGATATTTTTGGGACCAGGAAAGTGGAGTATTCAGAGAAAACCCACCATGCATGATATGAAAAAAAAAGACCAGGAAGTGATCCTGCAACCTTCTAGCTGCGAAGTAACAGATCTAACCACTGCACCAACGTGTCACCCCTTTTGCATTCATAGACATGCATCAAATGATAGGCCTGAAATCGGTCCTGTGCAATTCTCACCTTGATCATCTCAAATTGGGACAAATCCTAAAAATCCAATAATAATCATTGTAAAAAGCATGAATTTGTGTTTGTATTGGGTTAGTTCACTGAAAAAAAATGGAATTGAAAATTGCCCCACAAAACCAGAATTGGTGCATCTCTACTATATGCATTTTAGCAGTTTTGTTTGTGAAACTTAATTAGCAAGCTTTTAATACGCTATTGTAACAAATCTGCTTCTCAACAATTCACTATCAAGCTTTTGAAAAGTTTATTTTTTTGTTCTCATTTGTGCTCAACAAATGATACTAAAACAGTATAAAATACCAGAAACTGACTTTTAACATTCGACATTTGATTTAAAACTGGCATTCTTTCAAAGAACGAATAATGCTCGCTTCTTTGTCTGTCAAAGTTTTACATAAAAATCTTAGGTGATATGTTAGAACTCAAAGTATGTATTGAGGAGGACTCTCAGCTACTGCCACTCAAAAATCTGTAAATTTGACTGAGTCAGGAGCATTTTTATTATTGCTTAGTAAGATTGATTAGCTGTGGCAGCCATCTTGAATTGGGTTGATCCTAAAATGTAATGAGTTGAAGGTGTACTAATGACTCATTTAGAAGAGTTTCAATAAAATCCATCCACTGGTTTGAGGTGCTAAAAGTCAGACAAACACATACACACACACATTTTATGCAGATGAGCAACAACACTGTTGCATAAATAATCAATGCCAGCTCAGTCTTTTGTCGACTTTTCCTCATTTTCTCAGCTACTTACATAAAATCCAGTTCAGACTGAAACCCACGCGGTTCGGTTCTCTGCACCGTCACCTGTGCTGTTCCCTCAGACTCGAGCAACAAGGTCACAGCCGTGAGACACACAATGAGCAGACGAATGGGAGACTTGTGACAGAAAGGATGGAGGGTGAAGCAGAAGAGGCAGTAAAAGACGACACAGACGGCTCTTTCTCCCCAGCAGGCAGCAGAGAGCTTTTATAATCAGGCCCCAAGAGCAACGAGAGTATGGGATGATTCACAGAACCCCCAGACCAATTAAAATAGCTGTCTCCATGGCACCGTGTCAATGCAGACAATAGAATACAGCTTGAAATATGAGATAATTAAAGGCCTAGCCTTTCTTGTAGAAATGCATGTCGCCCATCATGCCAGAGTTTTAGACTGAGAAAATCTATGAATCATAGTCATTCCTGTTAAACCCCAGCTACTTTAATATAAAAGTAGGTATATTTTATTGGTACATACATAAAGTGATGTAAATCCTGTTAAAGACAAAATTATATGTTTACAAATGAAACAACAAATAAGAATTTTATTTGCCCACAAAACGCATTAGTTTCCGGCCGGGGACCCCACTTGCAAACCCACAAACAATGTTACAAAATATATAAAGAAATGTCTTAGAATGTTTTCCTGACTTTTATTTACTATTTAATAATTAACACGTTTATTTAGCATAAGAATTTTCTTCCCACTGAAAAAGCAACTTTTCAACAAACGGTAAGACGATAAGAACAGAATCAAACCACTCTAAAATAACATTTCAGTATTTATTGGCCTTTATTGTCCCGCAAAGGGGCAATTAATTTTCTGCATTTTACCCAACGCACATGTGAACATACGTGGAGCAGTGGGCTGCCACTTACAGGGTCCAGGGAGCAGCTGAGGGGTTAAGGGCCTTGCTCAAGGACCCAAAGTGGGGTTTGGTTCTGGTTGGTTTGAGGAGTTGAACCGGCAATCTTCCGATCACAGACTCATTTTCTCTAACCTCTGCACCACTTTATTATTATGATTACAGATTATATTTTAAAACGGTGATTGAAATCAGATTTGATTTCATGATAATGATTTAAAACATTTATTAGATTTCATTTTAAAAAGTTTTTTCTTCTCTTCCCTCCAGCTTTCTAAGGGTTCCCTAGCGCCCCCTGGTGGCCCTCCACTATGAAAAACCACTGGGTTAGTCGATTTGCTGTGGCAGCCACCTTGAACTGGGTTGATGCCATGAATTTATCACATGAATTGTTACTTTAGGTAGGTTTCATGAAAATATGTCAATGAGATATTTTGTCAACAAACAAGCTTGTCTCGAACAGGTAATATTAAAGTTTTAAACAAAGATGTTGCCCAATGAGCAGCACTCAAAATAGATGTTGAGTATTAGCTACTATCACAACAAATATTAGACGAGTATCTGTATGGATTGTGTGTGTGTTGCTACCAATCACAAGCAAACTGCTATCAAACAGATCAGAAACACAAAGATGGTAAAAATGACTGATATGTTCACTTTTTGCCCAAAGCCAGAAGTGGACAAAAGCCAAAATGAACAATGAGCCTTGCTTTTTTCCCTTTTCACATTTGTATTTATACCCACATCTGTGGGTATGTGGCCTACCTATATGCACTGTATATACCCACACTCCACATTACACAAAAGGGAGGGAATACATACAACTGAGTATATTTTTAAGTCAGAACCAGATGCTTTTACCAAAGCTTGTCTCCTGACACTAAAAACACATCAAACATCTGCACACAGTCCATTCTCTAATGACTTTGTGAAGAAGGATAAAGAGATTAGCAGGCACAGACTACTCAGCAACTAAAATTTAAATTGCACAGAACAATGTACCAACTACAGTAAAATGTCTCACTAGAATGTACTTGTACTCAAATGCTTCATTAAAACTAACATTTAAAGGAAAAAACGTATGCATAACTTGAAGCGTTAAAAAAGCCAATGTCTTGTGTTGGTTCATGAGAGTTTTGAAGATGAAAAAATTAAGAACTTCAGCTTAGAGTAAATTGGCAAGAGGTAAACTTTAGTATAGATATTTATGGACTTGTTTGAGCCCCTAGAAAGATGAAGTTTGTTTAATGCTTGTATGAGCATTTCAAACGGACGTACACTCGAGCAAGATCACTGCTGGATTTAATTCTTCCTGGTATCCAGGTGAACTTGGGGGTTTATGTCTCTTTTCTCTTACATTCTTCCCCATCGATTCTTGATGAACACCTGCTCGCAGGTTCTGAACGGTAAAGTGGAACTGTGACAGGCATATCGCAGACATTACGCATTTAAATTAACTTAGAATAAAAGGTAAGGAAATTAGTGTTTGGTAGATTATTTCTTTGTTGTAACAATGCTATTTGGCAATAAATTTTATACTGTTGCAAAGCCTGTTAATTTCCCTTTTAAATGGTGCCACTTTTGTAAGGAACATGCATTTGCGGGATGAGCAGTAGAGCTAAGTATGTGGGTTGCGCACATTAAAAATTAGCCAAATCTGTTCTGTCAAACAGATTATTTTGTTGTTGCTTTTGACACTTGTTTTGAGCTTCTGGTACCCCCAGGTGCTGCCAATCAGGTGACAAACAGATTTATTATGACAAGAAAATAATCTACCAAATACAAAGTTCTTTGATTTTTGTTAAGTAGATACACTTTGCTAAACGACAGCTTAAAAACCCCAACTTTTAGAACCACTGTTCTAACCCTTCCACATGTCTGTTATCCCTGCTTCCTTGTGCTTCTTGATATTCCAGCTAGATTCTTACATCCTGCTGAGTGTTGCAGAGTTTCAGGGGCTTGTTTGATCGAACCGTTTACTTTAGATTTTGTGTTTTAAGCACAGCCTTGCTTCTAGGACTTTGGTGTGTAAAGCTTTTCTGCTGCTTGGGCTTTTAAGCTTCTAACTGACAGATCGAAGAAGCAAGTGACTTGAAGGAAATGGCTGAACCAAGGCCATTTGGGTTCTATAATCAGAGATGAGAGCAACTTAAAGAAACTTATCATAAAAACACAACTATATCAGCATTCAAATGTTGAAATTCCAGCCTTAAAATTTTTAATTTATTAAAAGTAACTCAACTAAAATGGCAAATAAAGGTCAGCTTTTATGTTTTTATAATCATATGTGCAATGATAACCTTTTATGTAATATACAGCGGGTAAAATAAGTATTGAACACATCACCATTTTTCTCAGTAAATACTGTATATTACTAGAGGTGCTAATGACATGAAATTTTCACCAGATGTCGGTAACAACCCAAGTGATCCATACATACAAAGAAATCAAACCATAAATGTCCAGAAATGAAGTTATTTGTAATAATGTGGAATGGCACAGGGAAAAAGTATTGAACACATGAAGAAAGGGAGGTGTAAAAAGGCATGGAAAGCCAAGACACCAGCTGAACTCTCTCAGTAATTACAAAGCAAGCCTGCCCCTTGTCAGTGCAAGTTAATATCAGCTGGTTCAGTCCCAAATGATGGCCAGGTATCACACAAGAACCATCTGATGATGGGTAAAAGTAAAGAGCTCTCTCAAGACCTTCACAACCTTATTGTTGCAAAGCATAATGATGGCATCGGTTACAGAAGAATGTCTAAACTTCTGAAGGTTCCAGTGAGCACTGTTGGGGCCATAATTCAGAAGTGGAAAGAACATCATTTCACCATAAACCGACCAAGACCAGGTGCTCCTCACAAGATTTCTTACAGAGGAGTGAAAAGAATTATCAGAAGAGTTGTCCAAGAGCCAAGGACCACTTGTGGAGAGCTTCAGAAAGACCTGGAATTAGCAGGTACGATTGTTTCAAAGAAAACAATAAGTAATGCACTGAACCACCATGGCCTGTATGCACGCTCACCACGCAAGACTCCACTGCTGAAGAAACAGCATGTTGAAGCTCCTTTAAAGTTTGCTGCACAACATTTAGACAAGCCTGTGAAATACTGGGAGAATATAGTCTGGTCAGATGAGACCAACATTGAACTGTTTGGATGCCAGAATACACATCATGTTTGGAGGTCAAATGGCACTGCACATCAGCCCAAAAACACCATACCAACAGTGAAGTTTGGAGGTGGGAACATCATGGTGTGGGGCTGTTTTTCAGCATATGGTACTGGCAAACAAATAATTGAAGGAAGGATGAGTGGAAAAATGTACAGAGACATTCTTGATAAAAATCTGCTTCCATCTACCAGGATGATGAAGATGAAACGTGGCTGGACATTTCAGCAAGACAATGAGCCCAAACACAAAGCCAAGAAAACTCTCAGTTAGTTTCAGRGAAAGAAACTAAAGCTGCTGGAATGGCCCAGCCAATCACCTGACCTGAATCCAACAGAAAATCTATGGAAAGAACTAAAGATCAGAGTTCATAGAAGAGGYCCACGAAACCTTCAAGATTTGAAGACTGTTTGTGTGGAAGAATGGGCCAAAATCACACCTGAGCAATGCATGCCACTAGTTTCTCCATACAGGAGGCGTCTTGAAGCTGTCATTGACAACAAAGGCTTTTGTACAAAGTATTAGATAAATTTCAGTAAGCGTGTTCAATACTTTTTCCCCTGTGCCATTCCACATTATTACAAATAACTTCATTTCTGGACATTTATGGTTTGATTTCTTTGTATGTATGGATCACTTGGGTTGTTACCAACATCTGGTGAAAATTTCATGTCATTAGCACCTCTAGTAATATATTTACTGAGAAAAATGGTGACGTGTTCAATACTTATTTTACCCACTGTAACTATCTCCTCGACATTTCTCTTCTAGCACCGTCGAACGGCATTACTTCTGTGCACGATCATGTAAAATGTAAGCACGAGCAAGAGCTGCAGCCTTGTAGTTTCAATTCACGGCAGCAAAGCCTCATGTTTAATTTATTTCCAGCAGCCTGAGGAAAACTGATCCCTAAACAGACAGTTTTGCCAGACGTCATTACATAATATAGAAGGAAAGCAGCTTGTGTTCTTACTGTATCCTCTCTGATACTGTATGATTCAGCATGTTGATTCACACCAGATTCAATGGCAAGAAAGCACTACCACGACCGTGTTTTTACACAAAGTTTGTAAGATCTTACCGTGTCGTCAGCTCGCCAGTGTTGTCTGCTTTGCCTTTGGAACAACTTACTTAACTCAGCCTGGAAAATTTTGTTTTTATGCTTTTAAAACTTTAAAGTAAATCTTTAGAGATTTTAACAGAGTATTTCAGGTGCACGTGGAAGTACTGAGAAGTACTGCGATGCCAGATTACTTCAGCAGGCCTTCAGATGATCCAAATTTAAGCCATATGAACTGTTGTTTGTTTTAAATAATAATGCATTCATAAGTTATGTAATAAAAAACTGAAATCTAAAGGAATCACAACACTGAGCCAAGTGGAGAACACTCAGTAGGAGGCAGATGCATTATTGTCCAAGAATACCATATGGAGAGGAGTTTACATAAACAAACACTGCAAAGGAATCTTGAAAATTTATTGTATTAAAAGAACTGGAATTAATAAATGTGGCAATGTGTAACATTTGTGAATACTTCACGAGAAACATGCAATTAAAAACAAAACATATAAAAAAGCTAAATGACTTCTTATTGACACATTTGCATTTGCACACAATCCTCAGTTCCGACATAGTTCAAACACTGTGTAAAATGCGAAAAATATAATAATTATTATTTACCGTTATTTATCCAGGCAAGTCCCTTTGAGATCACAGATCTCTTTTTCAGGAGAGGCCTGGGCCTGAAGGGAACCTACTGTACGTTTTTGGGGGCGGGGGACACCGGAGTACCCAGAGAAAACCCAGGCAACCACGAGGAGAACATGCAAACTCCGCACAGCAAACTCCCACGTCCGAACGGGGGATCGAACCCACGACCTTCTTGCTATGAGGCATCGGTGCTACCATTAATCCACCGTGGTTAGCATAATAATAATAATAATAATAATAATAATAATAATCATCATCATCATCTCATAAACCTATTATTTTCTCATAATAGAACATAATACACATTTCAAATGTTCAAACTATAAAAATTAGACCCAATTTAAAAGCCTGCCACTCTGATGGTATGGGGGTGCATTAGTGAAAAGAAAGAAAACACACTGCAAAAACTGTCCATCTTACCAAGTTTTAAAATCTTATATCAGCCAAAGAGTCTTTTTGATCATGTTTTGAGACTGATTTACTAAACAAGAACTGATTGTGTAAGAATAATAATTTGTTTTCAGAATATGTAAGATTATTTGTCTTGTTAGTCTGAAAATTTGACTCAAGTTAATTAAAAGCATGAAGAAAAAATTAACATCCGGCAAAGAGGCCCCAGACAACATTGTCCCTGTCCTGTCTTTCTTGAGATGTGTCACTGCCATAAAATTACAAGATTTTATTCAAAATTGTTCAATTTCTGATATTTTGAATATGCTCCATTGTGAATAAAACATAGATTTATTAGATTTCCAAACAGTTGTGTTACTTTTATTTGTATTTTTCACAATGCCCCACCTTTAAAACCCTATATTAAATTTAGAAAATACACATTTTCAGCCATTAAATGCATTTTGTTGTGTACTTGCTGGTACAAAGCAGCACCTAGCTCCGCCCTGGAACTCAGTACCCATTGGAGCTCCCGCCCCACAGGGCACCCCTCCCCCGAAGCATTGCTGTGACAATGTGCTGAAGTGGGAGTGTCAGAAACGGTAGGAAGCTTTTAAAGAGACACGGGCCAATTTAGATAAGACTACGATGCAAAGTCAAATTTATTTTTAATATAAACAGCATTTTCACAACAACTAATAGTTATTTGATTGCAGTATAGAACTGAACTATGTGCCTGGAAAAAAACAAAATACCCCCATTTTAAATGTGAAGAAGAAGGAGCAAAAAGCATGTCCCCTTTAATGCACGCTAGAAAAGCTCAAATAACAGCTTGTGACTATTTGAACTGAGATGCACGGCGTACAACATGTGTATTCTTTCAAGTTGTAGCTTTGACTCCACACGTACCGCGACGAAAAAGAAAACGACAGATGGGATTACAACCGTATCTGGATTTTGCCCTGAAGCTGTTTGCCCTCCTTTGAAAAGCGGTGAGATTTGAGACCGACTCGTCTGCATCTCCTCTTCTGCACACCCCAACAGCCCGTGTCACATGATCTGGTCACTGTGGAGGCCTTTGTGTTTAATGATGACGCGACACCTGTTCACAGGATGTTGTTTTGCAGTGGGAGCTGCAGACCAGTCTCCTCAGTGGATCTGGGAAACCTGATGATAGTGGAGAATATCTGGCCACTGGACACATGCCCACATCAGCAATGCGGGGTTTCAGAGGCATGGGAATGACCTCAGACTACACACAGAGAAAGAGGGAGGGAGGAAGTAAAACACTTATACCTTCTAATAAAAACACTCAATATGTACCACTCTGTTCCACGCTTATTGTTATAAAATCCTTGCTAATCCACTTTATAATCTATTGAATAACCACAATATGAGAGATTACGTTTGAAAAAGTGTATTTTTTAGAAAAACGCTGTCTTTTAAACATCACTATTATCTCCACAGCTTGTATTCCATGTGTTCCTCATAAATAAGCCACAGGCCTATATAATATAAGCATCGTTTATATAATGGAGATGAGTATTTGTCGTTTACTGAAAGTTGTTTTTCGCATTTTCAGACCTGATTTCAATGGTTTCCAGGATGGTCCTGTGCATCAGCTAGATGTCAGGGAGTGGCATGTTTAACAAGCTGTGGAGTCGTATTCACCTCCACCTTCATGCACGCCGCGTGGACACGGGGAACAAAAACAACAACAACAACAGCAGCAGCAGGAGCATACCGGTGTACAAATGCGCACCTGGCAGCAAATACCCCCATACAAAACCATCCCTGTAGCGTTTTATCCTTACCTTCTCCCCCCTGTCTCTGCGCAGAGCCTTCCGTCTCTGTGCAGCGGTACGATCCACCACAACTGGCTCCTCCTCCTCCAGGACCAAACACACACGCACGAGCATGCGCGCGCACACACAACTCTCTCTCTCTCTTTCCTCTTCAATGCCGCACAGAACACTGCACGGATAAAAAAGCTGCAGTGTGTGTGTGTGTGTGTGTGTGTGTGTGTGTGTGTGTGTGTGTGTGTGTGTGTGTGTGTGTGTGTG